GAAGGACTTCTTAGCTTAGTAGATATATCTGAGAATTCCTCATTTTTGTGGTGGATTTGAGGGACAGAAAGATACAGTCTCCATGGTTAGATTACATATGTATATATTCTGTCTCTCTCTTTATCTTGGCGAATGGTCATTACTTAGTTGGCCCGTGGGCAATACTTAGTGTCTTTTCTGCTTCTCCTCCAGAACATGACAATTCAAACTCATCAAAATACTTCATTTTAAACATTGTGTTCATTTACCATAACATTTAATCTCTTCCTTCTGCAGCAAAGTTGTCCTTTCTTTCTTAGCTGCTCACCACCTGTCCCCTCTCCCACAGCACACTGATGTCTGGCTTTGGCCCCAGTACTTTTTTTTAAATTCTCAAGGTCTCTACTGGCCTCTGCATTGCCGATCTGGGGCTAGTCTCTATCCAAAGACAGACACTCAGCTGTGCAGCGCCTCTCTTCTTCAGCAGTGTCCAGCAGTCTTTCCTCTCAGGGAGTCTCACTCCTTCCATACTCAGAGCCTCCTGACTCCAACTTCTACCCATAACTTTTTCATGTAACACATGATAGGCTCAGGTACTGTGACTTACTCTCCATAGAGGTTAGGGCAGAGACCAAGTTTGGTAATTAGATGACACGCTTGGACTTTCTCTTTCCTGATTTTTCATCCCAAAGCTGAGGTCTGCCTCTTACTTATGAAGACACAGCACTCTCCCTAGCAAGGATTGGATCAGCCACAGGCAGGTTACACTCATTCTACTTTAAGTACTTAAGTAACCTCTGGAAGGAAAGAGCCAGGGAGATTTATAGTGAACATTTCAAGCTGGGTGTAGAATGCAGCCCCGACAGGCTCTCTTACTGTGTGCAGACCCACTTGAAACGTGCTGTTCTAGGTTAGCTTTCTCTCTAGAGGCGGCACTGGAGCTGAGCTTCAGGCTTTGAGCAAACTCAAAAGAAGGGTTGATGGGGCTCCCTCACAATCAGTAGTTGGTTAGGAATTCCCAAGACTCTAGAAGTTGACCACTGGAGCAAGAGAGCATTTGCCAATATAAATGTTGCTCTGATAGGATGGAGAGATGGCTCCGTGGTGAGGAGCACTTGACTGCTCTTCCAGAGGTCTTGAGTTCAATTCCCAGTAACCGCTTGGTGGCTCATCAGTGTTGCCCTGAAACACAGAGAGAAGCAAGGAAGACTGGAAGCAGTTGAAATTTCCCATGAATCTCGGTTTTCGAACTGTTATTTTAGAAACTCATCAAAGACTAGAATATTGAGAAAGGCCAACCATCCTCATGAGGACTCTCCCAAGGCCATGGCAGTCTGAAGCCCAGGTGGTTTACAATCAACCTCACCCTACCTGGACATGGAAAGTAGCATCTCATGAGACATAACTGAGTACTGCCATTCTTGCAGAAGTGTTCACTGTTTCAAGAACAAAGAGAATCCAGCAATGGTGTCTCTTGGTATTGAGACACCTTCAATCAGATGATGACCAGTTGCATGCACACTTGACTAACGGGGTGGGCGGCTTTGTTTTCTTACTGGGGTATCCATAGGGACTAGGCTAGGGAGGCATTCTGTAATTCTCATTAATAAATGACTACTCTTAATTAATTAATGACTACTCTTCTATTGATCTGCCGCCTGATGATTTTAATTTAAGTTCAGCACATTCCTTGTAGAATTGCAGACAAAGCGGTATGCAGTGTCAAGATGGTACAGCATACCTTCTCCTCAGGATCTCTATCATCTGAGTGATAATTCAAAGGCTGTGAAAAGACAATTGGTAGAAGACAGTGAAATTTACGGCAAAACCTTTGCAGAAACTTGCTAAGTGCTCTCTTAGGATGTCTTCCAAAAAGCCAGGGCTGATGTGGAATGTCACTTCATCTGGATCCGATTCACCTGGAGAACAGACATCTGTCTTTTGTTTACAGAGAGAAAGACAATTTGAACTATGGCTCAGACCCAATACCTTGGAATCAGACTCAGCTAACAGCATAAAGGTCGCTAGAGGAACAGGGGAGTCGGTGGGGTTGGTGGACTGGGCTGCAGTCTGTACCTCAAGATTCTGGGCTCACTTTTTTAGCTCTTACTAGCATTATAGCTTTGGGCCATTGCTGTTTTAACCTCTTAGTATTCTGGTTCTTCTATATGTAAATTACCATTTCTTCCAAGGATGTCAGAGTGAGAATGTCTGCCTCGGATTTTAGAAATTCAGAGTTGGTGTTTATAGCTATTTTTTTCTTTTTTCTTTCCTTTTCCTTTCTTTTCTTTCTTTCTTTTTTTCTGTAAATTGAAAACCTTATGCAATAAAATGGCAAATTCTACATCCAAAAGTCAAACAGAAAAGATTCTTTATACTCTATTTTTTTTAAAGTGATACCAATGCAAGACTTTGAACTTTCTCTTTCAGTTTCTTTTTTTCTTCTGTGTTTTCATTGTACACAATACTGTATTACATAAACCCAAATGAGAGGAAGTGGGCACTATTTGTCTTCTTGAGAATGACATAAACACAAACTCTCAAAGAAAGAAGGATACAGATTTCAGTGTCTCAAAACCAAGAAGACTGGCCCACCCTCTTTAAATGCGATGTCACCCAGAAGTCAGCTTCCACTGATTCAGCCATGACAAGAGAGATCAATAACCAGTCAGCACCAGCAGTGCTAGGATTTAAATTTGACCTTGATTTGAGATGATCACATCCAAGTAACGGCATCACCAAAGTCATATTTACACGAGGTCTTGAGATACGCTCTGGATGTCAGGAACTAGTTCATGTTGAGCTTTCAGCTCCATTTCCTGAGGACTCATCAGAGCTATAGGTGGGAATACAGTGCTCCCCGAGGCAGCAATGGAAAGGCAGACATGGACTTTTGCACTCCGTGGTTTGTACAGTAGGGAACCATTCTCACAGTAGAATAGACACCCCTTGACAATTTTCTCTCTCTTCCAGAGAGAAGATATTTCATAGACCAGCTGGGAAACTCCTAGTGCATTGTTTCATTTTTTATCTGGTTTCCTGTGTGCCCATTAGGAGTCTGTACTTGTAGTTATACTTAATACATACATTCAGGCATGTGCTAAATCCTCATAAACTGTACACATCAGATATGTTGAGTACTTTGGCAGTTGAGATTCACTATGTAATTAGTTAGATTGATCCTGAAACTATATTTATTATTATTGAAATATAAAATATGAAAACTATATTTTTATTGTTGATATTGTGAGATTATCTGATCATCTAAGACTTTGTTTTCAGCAAATCAAAACACTGATTCTCATGAAGGCTTTGGGGAAAAAAATCAATGATATAGCGTTGCTTATTTCATTTCGGCTTTGTGAAGATGTACAGCCGTGTTGGAGATCCATGTGGCTTTTCCCATCAAATACTAATCTAGAACCTTCTGAATGCCAGTCACTGAACGTGTGGGAACTGTGACAGACAGGATTCTCTACCTGCAGTTCTTGCTCTGTTCTTTTCTTCGTTTCCAGTTTTACATCAAAGAGTTACCCAGTTCTCAATTCCCACTGTTAAGGATACCAGGGTCACATGATCAAGGAATACATACTTCAGGGGACTGTAAACAGGCAGCCATCCCTGCGACTGGAATGCACACTAGATTTGATGATTTTAGTGTCTACTATTCTAAAACTGCACTGTCCTTTCCAAAAAATAGCATTTTTCTCTGTCTAGAGAAATATACTTGATCACTATATTTGTACAGTTCGGAGTAAAACAAGCTAAAAATTGTCCTTAGCCTTTTTACTAGGTATAATTATAGTAGTTGACCTTGATCTATGACAAATTACGATATGGTATTTAACGCTAACTGGTGCCTTTTTCACTTGAAGTGTCTTGGACTTTTCCCCAGGGTGTTGAGTTTTTTTGTGTGGTGTGCATTTTTAGTGACAGTAACGGTATTCTTTACTACGGAGTTACCAAATTGATTTAGGCAGCCCCTGTGTTTGATATAATTGCTACCTTATGGTTTCCTCATCTTAAACAAGGATGGTATAAATAGCCTTAAAGTGAGACTTGTCTGTATTAATATTAATTTCCTTAGCATGAAGTCCAAGAAATCAGATTTTTGAGTTAAAGGTTCTATAGTTTAAAGAATCCCCGATGCACAGAAGCACACATGAACATTTATCTGTAACTGCTTTGTTGAAGTTTCTTTTTTAGTGACCTTTCTTGATAGTATTTCTGACTTTTTTTTTTTTTGGTTTTTTGAGACAGGGTTTCTTTGTATTTCTGGCTTTCTATCTGAAATTTATTATATATTGTAGTTTTCAAGTAGTCAAATAGTTGTTGAAATTTAAAGAAGAAGAAAAAGGGAATATCATGATTATAGCAAAAAGTAGTCAAATGTAACTGTCCACTGTCAGTAACAAAATGATAGAAAATATTATTAGTCAATAAATAGGGTTCATGTTTCCTGTGCCCAAACAGACCCTTATACTTTAACTGGCCTTTTGTTAAGGCAAGCAAATATATTTCAAATGCAGGGCATCGGGCCTCTGCTCCTGTATTCCAGAGCGCATCAATTGCCTGTTTTTTTACGGGAACTGTCTCTGAGCTGCACACAGTAGCATTTTAAGAGGGAACTGTTTGTTCAGTCAATAATACACTGCTTTCACATTGTTTGCAATCGCTTAGAAAAACATCTTCCCATTTTGGGCATTTTCCCCAAATAAACTGTGCGCTTGTTGGGGCTGAGTGCTCTATTGTTTCTGAACACACAAACCTCTTGTGGGAAGCCCGCTGGTAAATTGTAACCTGGCTGTCTCCAGCAAGCACTGTTTGGGTTACTTCTAGGTAATTCTTCTGTAAGCATTCCCGAATCCAAAGAGAAAATGGTGACAAATGACTGCAAGGGGACCTGGAAGCAAATCTGCCAAATTATCAAAGGACTTTTTATTATTTATTAAAATTTTCCTCTCTCCTAGGTTTAAAACAATAAAGAAACGTATTCTGATCCCGCCCCCTTTCTTTTCCAGCGCTCTGTGGAGGGGGTGACAGCTTCCTGTGTACCACTGGGCTCTGCGTCCCCAAGAAGCTTCAGTGTAACGGCTACAATGACTGTGATGACTGGAGTGACGAGGCGCATTGCAGTAGGTGACAGGCCCTGTGGGGCTCGTCTGGATGGGAAGGGATTCTACTGAGTAGCCTAGACACCTAAGCCACTGCCCTGTCGGATACTGACAGCCAGCAGAGCCATTAGCAGACAGCCATTGGTTTGCCATTCTTAAGTGAGCCAATAGGTTTGCCTCTCCCAGAGCCGCCATGCTGGGTTTGCACCCTGCTCAAAGGTTTGGCTTTATAAGTATCCCTGGAGCTAGATGCCCAAAGGAACAGCTCAGAGAGTAAACTGTTTTTCTGTGGAGCAATGCTATCATTGGAGGAGGGGTTGAGTTTATTTTCTTTGGGTGAGGAATTTTGATTTTGTTTTGAAAACTTTATGAGTATAATGGTCAATTGTTTAAAGGAGTTTTTTTTTTAAAGGAAACCTTTTTATATTAATGATTCTTTACATTCATGGCTCAGCAGAGCCAAAGCTTCTTGATGGTTTATGTTTCTCCTTAGCTGGAGAGATTGTGGTGCTAATAGTTTTAAGCCCTCTGCATAATCACCCTTCTACTGCTTGATTTCATTTATTTGGCCATTTTGACTGAATAAGCCCGTGGTTTGTCCAAAATTAATTCCAATTTCAGGTCATTTTGCACTTCCCAAGCAGAAGGGAAACACTAACCTTACACGACATACACTACATCTTCTATGCTCAAACCAGAGCTGAGCCACTGTGCTCTGGCTGCTGTTACAGATGTACAATTAATCACAGTCAGCACAGGTAGAGAGCTGTGTTTCCATCCTGGGAGACTCACCCAGCCTTGGAGAGAGATTGAGATTGCTGCCTCAGTTGAGAGAGTCCTGTTTACCAGGTACCAACTCTTTTCCTGTGAGGAGGACTATGAGGCCCGTTTGCTGGAATTTTGGGCAGGTGGCATATCGTAGTATCAGAGGGCTGTTCACCAAAATGTGGTTTCACAGTACATGAGCTTTAAAAAAAAAATGGCTGAGTGAAACAAAATGAATAGATGGTTAGATGTCAACTTCTTAGAGAGTCTCAACGCATGCTGGTATTTTAAAGGTTTGAGAGATGGCTCAGTTTAAATTAATACTGTTTCATGCTTTAGGTCTTCATCCTTTTTCTCCTGTGAACGCTCACCCTTATTTATTTGTACATTTATTTATTTTGTATATTACGTAGCAGTTGGTTGAAATTAAGTTATGCTACATATATTTTGAAACCTTATTTTTTAGTAAGGATTTTCTTATAGTTTACAACATGGAATTTTCTCTTCAGGAAAACCAAGGCATGCAAATTCACAGGTAAATCATCTTTTATAGCCTATGTAGTTACACTGAGGACTATCACTGTTACATTAGCAGATTATACTATTCAAAATGACCACAGGAAGGAATTCTGAAAGGTTCAATTGGGTTATGTCCGTCTGATGCAGATGCAGTAAGCTCTTCCTGTCTCCTGCTGTGGCCAGCACAGGGGCATTATTCAGGGCCAACACGTGCCTTGAGTCCTGTGCGGCCAGCACTGGCTTCATCATTCTCTTCTCTCTGGTGCTGGGCATCGATTATCAACACTATTAGCGCTTCACGCTAAGGTCTAAGACATAATCTGAAGGAGTGAATTTTCCTAGTTACCAGCTTGCTCTTCTGGAAGGTGTATAGCGATGTCTTGGGAACTGTTTATTAAAGAAGATGGCTACTAGCTGGCATGATATTCATACCTCAAAATGACATGAGCTGGCCCATTGAGAAAATATATCCCATTAGCAAATGTCTCTAGGAAACCCCATAGCGAAACATATAAAACTTGGCATGCTATTGTTTCTGACCATCGGAGGGCATCTCTGGAGCCTCAACGTTTGACGTGTGCAGCATTTCAACATGAGTGTCTTGCGACTGGCCTCTACTCTCCTGCTGTTTCTGCTCTGCTGTGAGAACCATGTGTGTCTGAAGTAGGGCTTGTGTGCAAGTCAGAGTGTTATCACAGCCCCAGGTACTGAGGAGGAGAGAACCTTGGCTGAACACTTCCTAGGGGAAGCAAGAGAAAATACCCAGCTCCTATATCCACAATGGCCAGAAAAGACATGAAGCTAAACTCCTACTCTGCACTTGTTTTCTTTAAAAGGCAAGTTAGGTGGTTTGTGGAGTTTCTTGCATCGTTCAACTCAGTGGAAGCAGGGAAAAGGACTTACCTGTGGTAAATTGTTCATCAGCAGTGCTAGAAGTGTTTACCTTCAGGATTTAATTAAACTGTCAGCTCTGGCGGAACTATGTACTCCTTTCTTTTGTTCAAAGGCAGCAGAGGCTTGGCGTAGTGAAAACATTTACCAGTGTGGATTTGCCGTTATTTGTGAAAGGTTCCAAATTTAACACGTTTTCTGTCACATGTGCTGCTTCTGAAGTGGCTTTATCCATACACGTTCAGATTTGGTGAATTCCATGATGGTTTCATGAGTCATATGACAAGAGAATGTTTAGTTCTGGTTGCTCTAGCATGCTCTGGGTGGTAACTGACCATCACAGTGTCGTTGTGAGTACCCCTGACTGCTTACTGCTTTCCTTCTCCACTAATTTGGTCTATGTGTCAGCTATTCTTCAGGATTTATTGAATGACTATTCCCAACCTCTTGGAGCAATCTTAGTTTCACAACAGAAAGGTTTTTATAAAAATGAGAAAAACATTTTTTTTCATTCTGCTATTCAAGGCAGGCTGAGTCTGTAACCTGGGCTTCCCTCCGCATGTGCTGACTGCATTAGCATCTCCAGGAAGCAACCCCTCTTCCTAAAGTGCTACTCATATGCTTGGCCTGGAGATGAGTTTAGGTGGAAGTGCTTTTGCACAGTTGCCAGGATAATCTGATTCTAGACTCTGGACCAGAAGGTAGCTCATCTCTTTTGATGCTAATGTGCTATAGACTTTTGACTGTGTAAGCATCTCCAAGAACAGTTGAAGCTGGGGCTGCTAATACTGCCACACAGTGGGTGTTTATAGGTATATATTGCTTAAAAGCCCCAAAGCATAGAGGAGATGGCTTAGCAGTAGAGAGTACTCACTGTTCTTGGAGAGGACCCAGATTTCATTCCCATCATGCACATGGCTTACAACCACCCATCACTTCAGTTCCAGGGGATTTCATGCCCTTTTCTGAGTTCCAAGGCACCATACATGCATGTGGTACACAGACATACATGTAAACGGACCACTCACACCCATAAAATAAAAAAAGTGAATCTAAAAACAAAAACAAGTCCCAAAGAAAATAGTTCACATACTTCAAAAAGTTCAAAAAGTTCTCCCATCCAAAAACTAATCAGGACTGATTCTGCTAGCTTCCAAGATCAGATGAGCTTGGGCTCGTTCACAGTGTGTGACTTTATACTTTTTGGCACATGAAATCAGCCAAATACTTTTGGAAACCATTTGTTCTGAACTTTGGGGTAAAATGGGTGAACTTGGTTTTGTTTGTTTGATTTTGTTGTTTTTGTTTTTGATGACAGTGGTTACCTAATTGTAAGGAGTGCCATGCAATATGGCGGTCAGTATTGCATGCGCTTGACTCTGGCTGTCTAGTTTCCTATATTTCTATTCTCACCATTCCTGTTTCTGTAAGCTTGGCCACAACTCTTCCTCTCTTTGCCTCCATTTCTTCATGAGCCAAGTGGAAATAAGACTGTCTCAAGAACTGAGTTGTTGGATATAAAACCTATATGGGCGTGGCACAAACCCCCAAGAACACTGAGGTTTATGGCTATGGTGGTGCTTGTCAGTAAAGTTACGTTAGTCTTTGCCACCTCCAATGTGACATTCGTGACTGAGACACATACCCTAGAGGAACAGTTTAAAAGGAGGGAGGATCTTATTTCTATGTGGTGTGTTGGGGGAGAGGGAGTTGGGCTTTGTTTGGGTGTTGGTTTCTTTGTCTCAGAGGTGATAGCATAAGATTGGCTGCTGGTGTCTTTCTGGGCCTGAGGTGAGGCAGAATAGCAAGGAGGAAGAGCGAGATGGAAACCAATGGCTCCCCTCATGGTGGCCAAGGAGATAGTGAAGTAAGTACCCACCATGTCTCTCCTAAACTCTTTTTTAGAAATCTTTTTCTCTAAAATAAGGATGGAAGTAAATACTAGAAATGCTCCATCTGGTTAATAAAAGTGTCTCATTTGGCAAGTAATGAAAGAGCTTCAAATGTCTGCAAAAATTCTAGTATAGTAGCTCTGGGAAAATGCTGACTTAGCCAAATGATTGCAGATTCTCAAATTTTATCTATCTGTAAACCCAGTAGTAGACACATTTTGTAGAAACCCAGTGAGTAGATACATTATATTTTGATTGCTTTTAGTATAGATTTTTTTAAGTCTGATCAGAGGAGTAATGCACAAACATAGAGAACATTAAACCTTCTTTTTCCTTTTTTTGTTAATTAAATTGCTTCCAACATTTCTTTCACATATGAAATGCAGTCTAATTACCCTCATCTTCTGCCCTTGTCAATCCCACCCCCACAAGTACCCCTTTCACAAGTACCCCTTTCACATTGACTCTTTGCTTTGCTTCGTGACATGTAAGAATGTAATTTCAAGTCTCAGCTTGAAGTTAAAATTAAAAGACCCTTAAGTTTGAGCTTCGGTTCAAAAGTTAACTGCCCCAGGACACATCTTGGGAGAAGCACATTCCAAAGACACATTCCAGAGGAAAGGCCCAAGATAAGGGATAATTAGGAAGCTGGGCCCTTAACACAGAACACCTAGGTAAACAGAAGCCACTTAAGCTAATCCTCATTGTTGTAAAGATAAGGTGCAAATTGGAGTTACTTAGAAACTGGGCCTGGGAATGGCTGTTTGAAATCCTTTATAGTTATTGTTTAAGAAGTAATGAACTGTCCTTGTGAACTCTGTAAAAATGGTATATAAGCTACTTTTAGCTGCAGCTCAGGGCCCTTCTTACCTGCACGTAGGGGAGCCCCAGTACACTGGTTATCATCTTATCATCCATACACCTTATGTTATTGCATCAAATCTGCTGTCCGTG